AAGCCTGTGGGAGAGTCTCAGGAAGCTGAGCCTCGGGTTTGCTTGAGATCACTGACAAAAGCCCCAGCTGTTTAATTTCTCTAGGCCAGGTTGACAGGTGAGATCAGTACCTTTTTAAGTGGACTTGGGCTGTTGCTTCCTCTTCCTACCCGAATAACCCAATCATCTGCTGCCCCCCAAAACCTGCACAGCTGCTTTGGCGATAATTTCTCACTTCTTTGCCTCCTTGTCCCTGATCCCCAAAGTCTCTTGTTTTCTACACTCTCCACTTTAATTTAGAGAAACATATATTATAATATTACATGATTTTTGAAAACACTCATAGGCTTACTCTTGCTTAGTTTTATTTACATTTCAGTGGTGGGTGTAGTATTTTGTGGGACACTTAAAACATTCCTAACTTTAGGGCTTATTTGTTAAATCTGAAGCAAAAAAAAAAAACTCAGAGAAAGAAGATTTGGCTGTATTTTTCTCTTCTCATGGCTACACGTGTGACTTCAGGAGTACATATCAGAATTAATACACTTCTAGATGCTCTTTAACAAAATTGAAAGGGCCCTTGGCCCACCAAGCTCTGTGCTTAAAACTTGAGTTGCTGTAAAACTGAGGTTTTATTCTTTTTTTTTTTCTTTCGTATAATTGTTTCTCTACTTAACTTTATAAGGAAACACATGTCCAAACTGAGGATAGCCCCACTTAAGTTTCAACATGGTTTGGGTTTTGCGGTATCCAAGATTTTCCTAACTATGCACCTCTTTTTTTCTTTTTTCTCTTTTTTTTTTTTCTTTTTTTTTTTTTTTTTTTTTTTTTTTTCCTTTCCTTTGGTCTTAAAACACGCTCTTTTGGCTGGTTCAACAAGTTGTTCCTGCCAACCAGTTGCTTTTATGGTAATTGACAGCCTAGCTGATTTTTTGGAGCCTTAGAATCTAAAAAGGCATTTGAGCTCAGACTTTGGGGGGCCGGGCCAAGCTACTTACAGAGTAAGAGCTACAGCTGAACTGAACGTGGGGCAGCTCGACCCTCAGTCTGTGTGATCCAGGGAAGGGCATGGAGCAGCCTACAGGGCAGGGCGAGCTCAGCTCAGCCAACGCCCCCTGAGTTTCAGCAGCATTTGCATCCTCCTTCCTCTTGCCCAGATGTCTCTGGAGTGCCTGGTGCCACTTCCAGAGGGGAGCCCACGAGGCCACTTGTCACCAGTGGGCAAAGGGGCCCGAGCCCTGTGACTGCAAGTGATGGGGACAACAGACCTTAGATTCTGGCTCTGGGCTGAAAAGACACAAAATAGTTGAACTGCAGAAAGAGCCGGTAAGTTCTTACTTCAAAGGAAAAGAGCATAAGAAAAAGGCATTACAACACTTAATACCACCATTTCATACAAATGTAAATGTTCTGAGTTCCCTTCAGATGATATCAGTGCTTTAAAATAGCTGGGACATCTCTCCAGATTTCTTCTTAGCATTAAGTATAGAAAAAAAAAATACTGCTTTGCAAGCGCAAGGTCCCAAGTTCAATTCCCGGTACCAAAAAAAAAAAAAAAGAAAAAAAACTATTTATTTTTCTCCAAACTACTAGATCTTTACAGTTCTTGCTTTCCTACAAAACACAAACCTGAGTGAAAGGACACCTGTGGTCTTTCCTTTGCCTGTTGATCTGTGACCCCCATAGGACCCACGAGGCAAAATATCCATTTCATACCCTGGACAGTCAGTCCACTGACGGCAGCCATGGGAAAACCTAACACCAGGTAGAGTTTGAACCCAAAGCATCCCGAGCACACAGGCCCACAAGGGTGGGGACAGCCAACTTTTCTTGTTGGTTTACAATATTTAAGACGGAGATTTCTGACACACTATTTTAGCACTGACTATGGAGAGCAGCACGAGGTGTTTCTTCTCTTCATTTTATGAAGATTTTTCTTCTGTTCTTGGAAATGAAAATAATCCACCCATGTGCTGACCCTGAAAAGATGGAGAATCAGCCTTTCTGATACTGGTTAAGATTTGGGAAGCTATTTAAGAATACTCAAATGGGGATCCCGGTCTGGGCTTTTTTACACTTCAAAGGTGTTTTCTTAGGCACCAAAGTGTAAAACAGCCTGAGAGTAAGCAGAATTTTAGAGCTTTACAGTTAGCTGCCCGGGCTTGGTTCTCAGTGGTGGGCAAGTTCAGGAGTCCGCCGCAGGGAGGCCCAGCCGCGTAGGCGGTCCTGGGGCCACAGACGGCGAGTTTGGTTCCCATCTGAAACGGAAGCGCTGTGTGGGCCACAGACCTCAGGGTCCCAGCCCGCGGTCATCTCAGCGCTCTGCGTCCAGTTACGGACTTGACAGCACAGGCTCCCTTCCGGTCTGCACCGTCACCGTCCTCCGGCTGACGGTCAGGAAAGGAGTTGGACTCCGGCCCTCTCCCTACATTGGTGCCTGTTTCGTTTCATGCACCCGAGCAATTAGCCCCATCTAAACTAGGTTTGGTTACGCCTTTCATGTTATTTAAGCTTTGTGAAGCTTATACGTCGTTTGCCAGATCTTTTCATTGAATAAATATCCCTGTAGCCTATTGCTTCACTTTGGCAGTAAAATTGTTGCAATTTGTGGGCAAAATTGAGCAAAGCCTTAAAGTCATTTTTTTCCCTTTGTAAAATGTGCGGTGTTGCCGGCTTGCTTTCTCCCGAAGTCCGTGCCTTGTCCCTGTCCTTACCGAGGGAAGCAGTATAGAGATGATTGGACTGAATAAAGAATGCCTTCACAGTCACTGCGTACAAAGCCACCAACACCAAAGAAGCTAAAATGCAAAACTCTGAGAATAGTGCCTTGCACAGAGTGAATCGTCTATAAATCAGAATTACCCGAGTTCCACTTTCCTCCATTTACACGAGTCGTTTTATAGTCCCCAAACTGTCCAATGCAAGGCCAGATGATCCAGAAGTGGACAGGGCTGCCAGAGGCAACCCTCCAGCTGCTCCTCTAATGGATTCCTAAGACCTTACAAAAGCTGCCAGAGAGCAGGGATTTAGCTCAGTGGCACCACGCCTGCCTCCAAAACCCAAGGTCCTGAGTTCGATCCCCAGCATCCCCCCAAAACAGAACACAACACAAAGCTGCCTGACTGCCCAGTGAAAGGGGACTGGAGGAACGAACTTGGGTTGCTTCTTTTCCAGGCAGGACGCACATTATCTCAACGTTCTTCACAGCGGCTTGGGCATGTCTGGTTTGCTTGTTTGCCTTTTTTTTTTTTTTTTTTTTTTTTTCTAGTTCCCTTGGTTCCCAGGTGAAGGTTTGTGAAAAGGGCTCACTGAGAGGAGTTTTTGTCTTGTGATCCTTTACCAGGCTTTCCCAGTAAACTTAGCCACCTGGTCTGCCTGCTCGGCACTGTGTCCTCTGTGCTGGGAATTATCGGCCTGGCCAGCCGTGCTGTTTGCATCCTGGCCATGGCAGCCTCTCCCTGCCTCTCTCACAGCGCAGAGCTGGAAATGCACTGGGTGAGGGGCTTGGGCACTGCAGAGAAAAACTGAAAAGCCTGGAAAATACTGACAAGGAGGAGGAAAAGGGAAAGGGAGGACTGAGGCGCAGGAGGAGAAGAGGCTGCGAGGAAACACTGCGGTGTCCGGCCTCTTCTGTGGCCCTCAGTGCCTCCAGCTGCAGCTGCTTGGCAGTGGCCAGCAGTGTCACCGATGTGACAGTGACCTGGCCTGAGCACGCCCTGGGTTCAGAGCCTCCTAAGCTGTGTGCCCTCTGTGTCCCACCTCCGCCTCATTCTCTGGCCATGCAAGAGGCCCCTCCTCCCCCTCATACACCCTTCTGTCCAGGATGTCAGCTTTTGTTTCCTACAGCCAAGAGTGACGCAGAGAAACTTACTAAGATGCAGAACCCATTTTCGTCTTTCTTGCTATTTATCTGGCCCTGGGTAGACATCAGTGTTTGGCGAGGGGCAGGTGAAAACCAGGGGTGGGGAGACACACTTGGAAGCCCACGTCCTGCGTGTGTGTGACAGGACTGGGACTGGCTTCTACTGGGCCAGACTCTGAACCAAAGGCAGCTACATGCCTGCCCCTTTCTGGTGGCTCGAGTCCCTTGAAATCATGGAGCACAGAGGCCGAGGAGCCCGAGGCACCGCTAGTGTCTTAGGGGACCCGCTTTATTCTCTAGTTGAAGAAGCTGAATCCAGGTTTCGTGGAGTGTCGTGACCTGCCCGACCCCACCAGGCAGTGAGTGGTGCAGCGGGACCAGCACCTGGCCCCAAGTGAGGCCACACCTTTTCCCCATGCTGTTGGCCTCCCAAAGGCAGGGCCCATTTTCTCACAGTAACTCAACCTCAGGTTTTTGTAGATTTTGTTTCTTGCCTGCTCTCACTCTCTTTTTATTTATTTATTTCAATGCATATTAGTTACATAGAATAGTGGGTTTTATTTTGGTGTATTTATGCATGCCTGTAACATACTTTGATCATGGAGAAAGTGTGGTATAAGCCTGGCATGGAGACACACATCTGTAATCCCAGTACTCTGGGAAGCTGGGGCAGGAGGATCTCAACTTCAAGCCCTTCCTGGACAATTTAGTGACTTAGTGAGACATACCTCAGAATTTAAAATTTAAAAAAAAAAAAGGCTTGGGATATAGTCAGTGCCAAGGCCCTGGATTCAATCCTCAGAAACACAAACACATGCAAAGAAATGTATACACATAATGGAATACTATTCAGCCATTAAGAAGAATGAAATCATCTCATTTGTAGGGAAATGGATGAAACTGGCATGTTACACCTGCCTCCGAAAGCCAAATATCATGATCTCTTGCATATGCGGAATCTAAGACAAAATCAAGGTGTTTGTTCTTTTTTTTTTTTTTTTGCATTTTAATAAAAAATGACTTATCTTTGAGAGAAGGTAATTAAATTTCAAACGTGTTTCCGGATGAATTTTCCTTCCTGTTATTAAATGACGAAACATCTGAGATTAAGAAAGAAAGAAAAAGAGCAGAGTAATTGAATTTTTGCTTCTCTTTGCAGATGCTCTGGAAAATGGATCCAGTAAGGGCCACAGGTGAGCAAAAAGTTTTCATCTGCCCAGTGCAGTGCGCGATGCCCCTTTGCTAGCGCAACCTGCAGGGCGTTTGATTGTTTTTTCTTTCTGTTTTGCTTCCATCCAGCGCAGCTCACAGAAAGGGACCGAGCAAGGATGACACGTACTGGAAGGAGATCAATGCGGCCATGGCCTTAACAAACCTTGCCCAGGGACAGGACAAGCTGCAGGGAACCACGAGCTGCATCATCCAGAAGTCCTCCCACATAGCGGAAGTGAAGACCGTCAAGGTGCCCCTGGCGCGGCCGTTCTGAGAGTGCGTCTGAAGGGTGCCCCTCCGCAGCCCTGTGTGTTCGCAGCGCTCCTCAGGGAGTGCACAGGACTCCCGCCCAAGCCTCCTCGTATTTTTCAGTATCCTAAATATATCATTTAGTCACTTCTACAAAAGACATATAAATTATAAAAAAACCTCATTTTATTCAAAAATATTAACTTATTTTATGTTACTCAACCTATGCATAAAACGTCTGCATCCCCATTACAGTAAGTGCCTTGCTTCTGGAAAACCAGCTCCAACGCGGGCATAGTGGGACAGCTGTGCCTCAAAACAAAACGCCAACCCGCTGTGCTTCTTAGTCTGTGTACCTCACCCAGACCGACCTAACCATTTCAGGACGGAAACCAGAGTTGCTGAGTGCCCTTGAAATATACTGGGTAATTCACATGTTAAAACGTGGGTATCTGACCAGTGCAGATGAAGCCATGTCCCTTTTTTAAAAAATTACTTTACTGAAAACTGTTCAGTGTGCTTTTCAGAGTACTGACAGAATTTCACACATGTATTTTGCCTGCATATCTGATGTTACCATCTCCCAAAAATGAAACGTGCAGCAATCCACAAAAGGCACACAGTTAAGAAGTGATTCCTACAGATTAATTGGAAATTGCAAAGAATACATAGTGATCAGAAACCCCCTTTTTTTTTTCAAGCGCTGCTGGAATCACCACAATGCCCTTTAGAATTTATTTGGATTTTCTTTTCCTGACGTTCCCCTGATGATTTAAAAATACTTTATTGCATAAATAACTGAACATTCTCCTGTAGAAAACCAAACCTATAGTTTAGTTTTAAAACATAATCCTGTTTGTATTAGAGTTTAGTGGGGATTTTTTATGATGGAAACTTTTTCATATGGAATGACTAAAAGCTTTTTATTTGGTTCATTTCAAAATTACAATTGCTGATGGACAATTTGTATTTCAATGAGAACAAGACAATGAAGGAAATGTATCTCTGTGACTATACACATGTACACATAAAATTGACTTTCAGATTTAAAACATATGGCAAACAAAACACTGAGCAGTCTCTGGATTTGGCCAAGGAGGATAGTTAAGTAAAAATTAAATTAAATCAAGCATTAAAAGAAAGAACATTTTGTTTCTAAATTAGACTATCATTGAATGAGAATAATCAATATCAAGAGAAAACTATCTTTTTCAGTCAAACAGTAATTTCTAATCATCTTGGAAAGACTTGAATCTTTCTTTAAACAGTGGAGATGCCAAATATAACAGAATGTATGTACATCAGAGAAGGAAAGAGGTACTGGACTCTTTTATGGTGGGATTTTTCTTTTTCTGGGTATGTAATCTATTTTGTAATTTTTTAAAACTGGAAAGCATTTTTTGTGAGTGTGAATAAGAGCCAATAGTACAGCCATATGGTGACATTTTTCTTTGTTTTGCAAAATGCTTTTAAAACCAAAGGCTGCTCTGGTTAAAATATGGACTGTATCAATCTCGATATAAATTGTGGAACACTTTTTCATGTAACATAGCATTTGGGAATTGGGATTATTTAGTGTAATGAAGATAATTTGATATGAAAATATTTTGTGTATATTTTTACTTTGTTTTCTAATTTGCATTTTGCAGAAACAGTAAGTGCAAAGCAAGATATATAAGTTATGACTGTATGATCAGAGGAAGTATGCGTTCTTTTGGTTTACAACTTTAGTATAGATCCAAGAGGAAAACTTTGGAATCCTTAGAAGACAATTTTGCCAAAATGTGAGCATGCCAGTGAAAACAAAGGACAAGTACTTCACTCTTTTTTCATACTATTATAAGTTATTATGGTATTAAATATTTTAATAAAAGTGTTTTTGTTTTTTACATATTTCACTTAGATAAATGAATGCTGGTTGTACTTTATTTGAATTAGGCATGATTGATTTTTGCCATTAAAAAAAAATCAGCAAACTTGTTCTATGTATAAACATAGCTGACAAGCCATTAGGGGTCAGCTATTCAGATGATTTCTTTAAAGCACCAAAACTTGGAGTCTGTCCTGGAAACACACGGAGAAGACTTTATAATTAGCACATCCTTGGCAATATCTCCAATTGCAATTACTTTTAATTTATTATTTTCCTTTGCTGCTTTAATATTTTCTGGAAAGTAAAGTCCCCCAGTCCTTTGAAAGAACCTTGAACAGTGATGAGGCAGCAGCTGAGAGTCTCACTCACCATTTATATTGTAGAAAAATAGAATTACCTCTCCTTTATTTTGCTGTATTATAATCATTTTAACAAAACGAGTAACTGCCAGGATTTCTTGACAGATCTAAAATAAAAATTAATTTCTAGACCTCAATGATCATATGCATTTGTTTTCCTTTGAGAGCTGACCAAGAGGAGCAAGTGGAACTACACACAGCAGTCATCCCTCAGTTGGAAGAGAATGTGGTGAGCTGCATTTGTGTTTGGTTTGAATTTCATCACGTTAGACCACCAAGTTGCCTTTAAAAACTCAAGTAAAAGAGATTAATGCTGCCTATTAAAATGCCTAAGTTTTAAAAAGCGACAGCCTGTTTTTACACTCATCCAGCTCATAACATCATGCAAATAAACATGGAAGGAAAGAGCGAGGTGACAAGGCTCTTCTGTCAGGGCTGACACAGGTCAGTCACACCTTGGAAGGCAGTGCGGGTGTCGGTGAGGTCACCGGCCGGCACATCCGGACTTGGGTCACTCCTTAGTGACTTCGGGGAATGAGCATAGGCCTTCAATGCCCGGTGCTTTTATTGATAAAATTGGATCTATGAAAGCCACCTATTCCAAAGATCTGATATGAGGATTCTTGTGACAGCAGATGTGAAAGTGCTTTGGAAACTGCATGGAACTCCACAGATGGTTACAATAATGAATGTGTTCCACATCGCCCTCAAAAGCATAATATGCATATTTTTTGGCAGTAAAATTGTGGTTTCCATGCAACATTCAGGACCCCTTCATGTTGTCCTGTACATGCCACAGTTTACAATAACTGAATCCTTCTGAGCGCTCGGAGTTTCCTGGTCCAGGACTTCTTCATAACAGTTATTAGACGATCCATTGCCATGCTGCAGGGACAGAATCTCAGCGTCACCACTTCCTAGCAAGGAGACCCCTCTAAGAGGTAGACTAAAATTTAGTTAGGAAGGTGTATGCATTGATGACAGTAAGCTTTTTTTTTTTTTTAAGGTGAAAATCAAAGATTTTTGAATTTGGAAAACCCATCTAACCTGTTCTTACATTTTCACACAGATGGACCCACCCAGGTAGAGACTGTGTCCATTCATCTGCAAAAATAAATTTTATCCCCAAGTCAGTTTCTATAGATTTTTCCGGCAATGGGTTTGATCTGATCAGCATTCATTTACTAGGGTTTCCTTTTATTTTTATTGCCATATAATAATTATACAAAAGTTATGAGGTGTATGTTTCTAAATATTTACATTGTGGGAAATTACAGAAAACTCAAGTCAGGTAACGAGCATGTCCGCTGCCTCAAACATCACTTCTTTGTGGGAAAATATTAAAAACCTGCTATTGCGAAGCATACAACACAGAATTATTTACTACAATGATAGCAGGATTCTAGAGCTCATTCCTTCTGCCTAATTTTACCTTTGACCATTGTGTCCCTCTTCCTGCCTGCCTCAAGCCTCAGTAACCACCATTCTCCTCCCTTCTGTGCATTGTTTCTGATTCCACACATAAGTGAGAACATGTGCTTTTATCTTTTGTGCCTGGTTTACTTCACTTAACACAATGTTCTCCAACTTCGCCCATGTTGTCAGAATTTCCTTCTTTTTAAAGGCTGAGTAGTAGTCATTAATGTGTTAATGGACATGTCAGTTGTTTCCATTTCTTGGTTATTCTGAGTACAATAAGCCAATAAACATGTGCGTACAGATGTCTCTTCACCATACTGATTTCATCTGTTGCAGGTAGACACCTTGTAGTGTGACTGCGGAGTCATATGGTAATTCTAGATTTAGTTTATTAAGAAACAGTCATACTGTTTTCCATGATGGCTATACTAATTTGCATTCCTGCCCAGTGTAAAAGGATTCCCTTCTCTCCATATCCTCAACAGCATTTGCTCTGAGGTTGGGGATTTAGTTTAGTGGTTCTGGCACTGGCCTCACAAGCACAAGGTCCCAAGTTTGATCCTTGGTACCAAAAAATATAAAGTAAGAGAGCAGCATTTGCTCTCCTTTGTTTTACTGAGTCAGGTGATATGCCGCTGTGGTATTTCTCTAACGATTAGTGATGCTGAACATTGTTTATATATCTGTTGACTATTCATATGTCTGGTTTTTTTGTTTGTTTGTTTTTTTTTTTTTTGGTACTAGGGATTGAACTGAGGACCTTGCGCTTGTGAGGCAGGCAGCAAAACCACTGAGCTAAATCCCTGGCCCCCATATGTCTTCTTTTGAGAATTGTCTCTTCAGGTCTTCTCCCCATTTTTATCCAATTCTTTTCTGCTATGGGATTGAGTTCCTTGTACACTCTGGTGATCGGATATAGAGTTTGCAAATATTTTCTCCCATCCTTCATATTGTCTCTTCATTCTGTTGATTGCTTGTTGTGCAGATGCTTTTTTTAGTGTGGAGATGTTCCATTTGTGAATTTTTGCTGCTGATGCCCATGTTTTTGAAGTCCCACCCAAAAAATCCTTCCCCAGAACTCATGAACTGTGTCCCCTGTTTTCTTCTATAGTTTCATAGCTTGGGGCTTTACATTTCAAGTCTTTTATCCATTGTTGCATTGCTTTTTTTTAATATATGATAAGAGATAGGGTGACCGGTGTTCTTCACTTCTAAACAAAAATTTAAACTTTAGCGTTTTACAAAATTAAAGCTGTAACTTAAGTTAGTTGTGAAAGAATTTAAATAGTATCAAAGGCCCATGTCTCCATGATCACAATCCAATATTCCAAAAGATGGCCATGGTCAACAGTGTCTGTTCTGTGCACAAAATTTAACTTGTACTTTCTTATCTTGTACTTATTACTATATTTGTAACTGCTCTACAACAATTTTCCATTGTATCATGGGTATATTTTTATCAGAGTGTGTAGATTTTATTTTAAATGAATGCATAAGATTTTATTTTTGGATCAATATATTTAGCAAATACTCATTGATGAACTTTGGGCATATTTCAGTGTTACAGTAGTTACTGTAAACTAACACTACTCAAAATTCTGTTTCACATTGAGGTAGAGTTTGCACAAGGATATAACTCAGTATACTGCTTTCTTCATCAAGAAAAGCTTTCTATGAAAAAAAATCAGTTGAACCCATAGTGCCCTTGAAGTTAGAGTGGTTTATACTGAGTAGCATGGTTATCGACACCAGTTGTGTGAATATTCTTGTGCCCACATTTCTTCTGCCACTTACACATCTGTGAAATTGATACTCAGAAGGGGAATTAGTGTGTCAAATGATAGATGCATTGAACTTTCTGATGGTTGTCACTAAATCACCATTTAAAAACTCTATCAGTTTATACTTTTGGCCGTAAGGTGTCTCTGGTTTTTTTTATTGTGGTCAAAAGTTAAGAATTATTAAAATTTTCAAGATTTGGCAGTGCAGTAGGTATAGTTATTGTTCTTATTTGCATTTTAAAGAGGAACAGTACAGCATAAGCTTCTTGGTGTTTCTTTCCAGCATCCTGGTTGTTTATGTCTTTTCCTTTTTTACTTCTAATCATTCAGTTATAAATAATTCAATATAAATTCTATGTCATATTTTAAAATTCAGTACCTTGTCTATATGTTGTGACTGTTTCATTCCCAGCGCAGTCTACTTTTAACTTTATTGATAATATTTTAAAATCAGAGTCTTCAGCATCATCTGTGAATATGCACAGGATGTGCAGGGGGGTACAGCATGTATTCAGTCACCAGATAAGCAGAGCAGCACTGAAGTTCAGAGCACACCCTGCTGAGGGCCAAATCATTTGTCTTCTCCTTACTGGCTTTACAATCTCAGACAAGACACTTCACCTCTCTGTGCCTCAAATATACATCATAGTAATTCCATTATTGTGAGGAATTAGTTGTCTTACTGACAGCACTTAATAGTACCTGATAGGTAGTTGATGCCAAGATTAGAAAAGGATTCATTCATTTTTTCTGCCAATTTTAGTTTGCTTTCATCTATTTAAGTCTCATATACATTGACAATTTATTTAGCATGAAAAGTAAGCTAGGTACCTGGTTCCCCCACCCCAAATAGGCCCCCTTGCCACCGCTTCAAAAAAGAAAACCTAGTTAGTTGTGTTAAAACTGTTTACTAGATAATCCACTGAATCTCATTTGCTTACGAACAAATTATTATTTTCTTAATTTTACTTTTTTAGCCAGCCACTTCACTAAGACTCTGTGAGTCAGTTATGATGTGTCAACTTGACTTGAGTAAGAACCACCTAGCTGATTAGTAAAGGGTTGGGTCTGTGGGTGACTGACACATAGGCCCTGAAATAAGGGGGAGAGACCCACCCTGGATATGAGTGGCACCAACCAATAGGCTTGTAGCTGGGCAAAATGAAAAGGGAATGAAGAAGGAAGTCTTTCCCCTT